TTTCTTCCAAATTTGAATTACCCTATTATAAATTTCCAAAGCATTTAATACTTTCCGYAATATATTTCAGATATTTTAAATATGTATTTTATACTATAGATTACTCTGGAATTTCTTCCATAATATAATTAACCGATTAGAATTTCCTCAACATTTTAATGCTTACCTTAATACATTTGAGATATTTTAAATATTTCATGCAATTAGTACAGACTTCTCTGGAATTTTTTTCCAATTGTAATTAACTTTAGAACTTTCTTATCATTTTAATGCTTTTGCCAAATAAAGATATATTTTAAATGCAATTACTATAGACTACGCTGGAATTTTTTGTACATTAGCAAAACAAAGTAATTTATTTAGATACAAGTTTCGCTTGCCTAGCTGTTTGTCTGCTAATCTGTTTAGCTCTTTAGTACTGCTCGATTATTCACGCACTCTAATTCAGTTAGTGGTAGCTCGTCTATGGTCACATGCCAGTGGGCCGCCTCACAAATTACGTGGAAATTACGTTTTTAATTATGCATACTTTAGTTTACTTCCATTGAGGGACAAAGTGGACAAAACCAGCTTCGTATGAATGTAACTTGAGCGTGTAATTCAGTGTATGACTGTGTGGGCGTGCTATTGTATGTGGGTGTGTAAGTGTGTGAGTGTGTGAGTGCGTGTACTGCCACTCGAGTGCACTCGGAAAACCAAAGCGGCAACAAATGGCAAACAAAACGTAGCATACCCAGAGACGTTCGCTGGAGCGTGCCGCACATGCAAATGCATAAGCGAATGCAAATAAAACATTCTCAAACGCGACCTGCCACTGCCCGCCCATTGAGAGAAATATTGGCTTGCAACATTTCGTGCTGCCATTCAAGCTCATTTCGCCATATACGTGATTGCTGGCAAGCGCAGCTGCAGTCGCCTGCCTGCCACAAATGTGCATACATGTATGTATGCCAACGAGCATAGTCTCTATGGATGGCCCACCAAAAAAACAACAGAGTGCCCGAATTGAGAAAGAAACCAAAATCGTGATTACGTTCGCATTATGGCCAACGTTTTGCACTGGGAGTTTTGCTGAGCTGCAATTTCCTGCCTGCCTGACTCGTAATAACCATCAACTTTATAAGTTTCTCTTGTTGCTCCTGCTTCCACCTCGCTCTCGTACACAGACCTTCTAATTTTATTAAAAACTTCTGGTTGCTTATTCGTGTGCCTCGCAGGAGGACGCAATCCCTGACCAGCTGAAACTTTCACAATGTTCAGCCTTTTTTCTGCTAATGCTATGAAATTAATTTTCCTCGACGCCCACATTTTGTTGCTCCTCGATTTTTTTGTTTTTTTTTTTTGTATTTTGAGGTTCTCTTGTCTTTTGCGTTGTTCGCCAAGTTGTTCGCTACGTGGCTCATTAAGTATAAATAAGCGAAACCGTGAACGGAGTTCGTGCAGCAAAAGTTTTAATGGATTTCTCATAGGTGAGAGGCGTCAAAGGATTGAGCCGCCATTAGAGCTTTGTTTACGACTGCGTGGCGTATTTATTTATGTTTTATCTATTGTGGCTCGAGCATTAGCAGTTGACCTTTCCATGATTTGTATACCCTGCGAAGGCTAAGTTTGGCCAGACAGCCGTAGTGACTCCGATAATACTTTGAGTTAACTTGTGTTAGAGTTAATTCTCTGCATCAATAAATGGTGAGTCGAGCTTATCTAGCTGTCTGTACAATCAATATATATAAATATTAAATAAAATAAAGCAATAAATTCTAGAAAATATAGATCCAATATAAAGGGCAAGCCAGTTTAAATATATGAGTTAAAATTAGTTTAATTGCTGATTAAATGCCATTGAAACATTAGTCTTATTTGATTGAATATCGTGCGCTAAATCAAATTCAAGTGGTTCGCCCTTTCAGTTCAAATGCCACTTAATAACGCTTTAAGGCTCTTTTCAATCAAGCGCACTTAAATTGCACAGGCGCACATACAAACATAAATATTCATACACACACAGGCCGACACTCAACCACAACTCACTCACACACACACACACACACACACACAACCACTTAAATCGTAGTCTCCATAGCTCAACGAGCGTGGAATAAAAGAAGTCAGGGGTAAAAAAAAAAAAAAAAGGAAAACCTTGCTAAGTGACAGGCGGCGCTTTGTAATGTCCTGTGCTTTTGTTGCAACCAACTCAGACCTGGTGCACAATTATTAACTGCCAGCGTTCAGGGTAAAAAAATTATGACCAAGTCGACGGCGGTCATAAAAGCAGCCAAAGCCAAATGCCACAAGCACAAAAGCGACCGACAATGAATGGCCGAGTGATGGACACCTTTGAGAAAAGCACGAAGCCAGAAAATGAAAAGGATAAGAAAAGCGAGGCAAGTCCTTTCACCACTGCCTGTCCAATAAGCTTAGAACGTGCAGTTTGTTCGTTGACTCAGCAGCTGCAGCAGAATCCAGCCACTTGAAGCACAACATAAACACAACGAAAAACTTTGACAGAATGCAGAGAGCTCAAGCTGGGTTGTTATTTAGTTATTGTTTAAATATAGACTAAAGCCAGCAAGAGTTTTTAATTGCTGCAAACTGAAATCCAGTTTATAGTTTGTTAAATATTTGCAAATATACGAAAAGAATTTTTTGATACTTTTAATTAAAATGTCGTTTAAAAATGATATATGCGCAATATACAAAAATGTATTTAAATATATAAATCGACGAAAATAAACTAAAATTTGGATAGTGTTAATTAAAATTTTAATGTCAATAATCTGTCCTGATTTATTCTAAAATAATTTTAATAGGAATCGAGCTGAATAATTGATTAGCTGCAAATCGAAATTTGAGCATAATTTATTAGGTATTAAAACTTTACGGTTACATGGAAAGCATCACTTGTTAATGCATATTCTATTTTGAATTTCGCAAAAAATTATAA